ACTCTGGCCTTCCACGCCTTATCTTATCTACTAGTTCATAACCGTTGGGGTACGTTCCATGATCTATCACCCGGCCGCACTACTTCGCATTCCACAGGTGCTGCGATTTTTTCTATTCCACTACCTCCAGGCAAATCCAAATTCAGTTGCATGAACGGCCCGAAGGCCTAACCGGAATACACTTTTTGCGGTACAAGCTTGACATTGGGTGCTTTCGAGCAGTCACGTAATATTTTTAGTTAGCTCAAAAGCTTTAGGTTGTTGACAATCACATATGCCGATGTCCTCTGATATGCATACTTATGCACGTAGTATATGTAGTTAAGTAGATCTAGTTATACTTATTACTGCAATCTAAATCTAGGAAATATTTAGCTTCCTGTGCTTCCTTTTAGTTTTATTAATTTTAACTTAGTGTTAGTTTACTGCATAGTTTTTTTTAGTTTAATTTTAGTTATAGTTGTAGTTAAATTAGTTTTAAATTCAATTTAGTTTTCTAAAGCAACATACGGTTGCTTGTCGGCTTATTGAACTACAAAATCTGTCCAAACGCATGATAAGCTTTTATAGATTTAAAAAGGGGTACAAAGCCTATCTTTCATGGTTTTATTTTAATATCTAAATTTCGATATAGAGTCGATATTCGTTTGTAGCCTATTTGCAGGTATATTTTTCGCAGCTACTTCTTCCTATTGATTGTATTTGTAATTTAAATTACCGCGCGCAAATATTTGGTTATTATAATGAGTATTTCCTATTATTTTCCGCATTTATACGCTTAACTTCCTAAATTACTTTTCTTTCCTGTGATATGACCCAACCATAAAAATCTTATTAACACCACTCTCTGACAGCTATCATGCGTTTCTAGATCACGGAAAAAGAAGATCAGGTGAGCAGTCAGTCGTCATTGTATAAGGCAGACCGGACGACGACTTGGGTCACGAATAACGGAGCACCAACAGGCAGTGCAAAAAGGCGACGCACTGTGCCAAAAAGGCAACACTGAACCTGGCAGGAGACTTTGAGTTCGACTTCATGGGCACACGGATAATGGTACGAGCGATAATAAGACGGGGCGAGAACTACTGCAGACATGGGTGTCAGATTTCAACTCCATCAATAGGCACATGAATATACCACCCTGTTATTTTGCTCTCCGTTCGCACGACCAAGAAGCGCGGCCCAGCCCGTGTTCAGAGAGGAACGCCAAGATGCCAAAAACGCAAACCGAGATGAAGTAGCGTGGGCTCAACCACTCACAAAGGCTCCTTCTCGCCTCTCCCACTCCCATTGTCTCGAAGCTGGACTTAAAAAACATGCCGATTCATGTTATTTTCTCAAGTTCTCCGACGACGGTTTCTTGTACGAGTCTGGAAGCCCAGACTAATACAAGTACTATCCCAGTGATCTCGCGTTTGTCTTCTTGGCATCACTCACTTATGTCAACTTTCCGCGAACTACCGAACATCAGCTAGTGTTGCTGGTTCTTTTAAATGTTTTTGAA